AATAACGATCCTAGTACTATTTTGTTTGATTCTTACCATAAGAACATTTTTTTGCAATTTGACTTTTCGGTGGCAATACTTTTTATAGTATTAAGAAGTTATCACTTTTGATTTCCTTATCATGCATTCTAGTTAATGTTTAATAAATGTACTGACGTCATCAATATTTTCCCGATATCATCGGTACACTACATAGTCTAAAACTATGTTGTCGATTATACGACTATCATATACAATATATTTCAATGCACCATCTTTCAGGGAGATCAACTGCACCCACCATTCGAAGGACGAAAGGATTCTAATCACTTGTTTGTTTAGTTAAAACAATGATAATATCTGTTTAAAATTTCATTTTTCATTTCAAACTTCAGAGATATGTACCATGGGATATCAAATAATTGCAAAATATTGCTCACATGGGCACAACGGCAAACAAACGTCTGTCTGAATAACAGTAGGAGTCTTATCGATTGTTAATAGTTTCGTATCATCGCAATAGAGGTCATCTCTGGTTATACACTACTACTAAGTGCAGTCATCACAATGCATTTAACTAAAGCAAAGCAAGTATGTTGTTCTAGTGTGAAATTCTGTAACATTTCGTTTCAGTCAGATTTCACATCCACTTTGAATAACGCACGAGCAAGAACAGAGCATATCAACTCTTTTGTATTTCTAAACCGTTTGTGTAAACTAGTTGTGTAACCTTAATGTACTAGTTGGCTGTTCATATCGGTTCACATTGAATAGGCAGCACTTAACAAAACTGATTTTCATTTCAAACTAATAACATTTCATATCTATCCTTCACATTTGACAAAGAAATTTTCGTCGACTATTAAAAAATCAATGTTAACCGCCTTTTACAAATCTAGTCCCTCAAGGGTAGTGAATCGGTACGTTCACAATCTATTCGTACGTTTTGACGTGAAGAACGTTATAGGATAATGAGATTTTGGCAATAAGTGTGCACTCCCTTTATCAGGTTTATTTCACGTCAGTACGGATTTTACTAAGCATAATTTAATTGATCCACTTACGTGTATCTTATCCATTAAAAAAGAACTGTTGAAAAGATGAAAACAAATGTGCTGGAATTAGAGACAAATAACAGTAAAATATTCACAATAAGCCTTGACAAAGCCGGCCATACCCCCTTGACGTATTTGGACAATCCTGCACTGGTCCAGAAACATGGAGTGTCGTATTGACAGAATAATTCACCAAGGAAATGTATCGAAGATTTTATCGTTATTGTAAACGCTCACTTGAGTCAAAACAATTCCATCAGTTTAGCTTTAAAGATGAGAGCTTGACAATCATTTAGATGTGCGCTTCAGTTCACTCCAACACTAAAGCAACTAACCTCTCCTAATGCAGTGACGTAAGTATTGTGCACTCAAATATCGAATCCACACATGCACTTGACCTGTGAACAACAGATGTTTTGTACCTCGGCATTCTGGGATACATATGCTTTTCATGCTGGGAACTGTGGGCGTAAAACGAGAAGTCTAACCGTTTAGGAACCGCTGTCTCTTGTATGTTGACTTATTTCAAATCAATTTTATGTCCACTCAAAGCCTCAAATCGTAAGTGACCAGTCAAAATGATATGTCTTAAAAATGGACATCCTACTTACCGGTCGTTTGTAAATTATTGTCGAAATAGCCGGACTTAGCGGTCAGTGGTTAATTCTTTTCACACTAGCCGAACTAAACAGTCAATTGTAAATTAGTATCACACTAGCCGGATTGAACGGTCAATTGTAAATTAAAATCATACTAGCCGAACTCAACGGTCAATTGTAAAATTTAATCACACTGGCCGAACTGAATGGTCATTTGTAAACTAAATTGTACATGCTAATCACACTAGCTGAACTGGACGGTCAATAGTTACTTTAACGCATCATTATCAATTTGACTTTACAACAGTAGCGTACCCTCTCTGAGCTACTTGAATCAGCCGATGTGTAGGCTTTTTAACTTCCAGTACTGCCTAGGATAGTGAAGTTTGGTGTGACAAGATATATAACTAACATAAAACCAGTGTCGGCCATCGACACGTGCTTTTAATATGAACGTGAAGACCTCAGCTATGTCTTACGAGCTACTTCAGATAAAATGAGATTTTCTTGCCAGCGAGGAAGCAAACATTCTCCAAACTACCTGAGGTAACAGCATGTGATAGAATAGGCAAATTCCATCCATATGATAAGTGTTATAGAAGAATATGATGTAACTGGGAGATAAAGAAACGTTAACGCCAATAAAACTAGTTCCGGTGCTGGTTACAATGGCGTGGTAGTGAACATGCCTACTTATTAGATTAGATTTAGGGTTGTCGAGTGTACGATTAGGAGATGTTGAAGAATAAGATGATCGTGTGCTGTTATCTTGGATTTTAGAATACACTGACGTTTCCCTTACATAGAGTACATCTACAATCCCTTACAAACTTAAGAAATGATGCGGCTTATCATTACCACTCTCATGAACCAGCCTATTTGATTCTGATAAGACTTCTTTTCAAATGAGATTTAAAATTATAAAAATTGGAATGTTAAGCGAATGTTTCTTTTCATTTCAGTTAAATATGGTTGCTTTTGTTTTTAGCGAGCGATATATATGATATTATACACAGGCATGTTTATACATGTGCATCTGTACACAAATAGTCAATATATAAATCGGGATTAAGAAGATAGAAGAGAAAGTTCTTAAATATAAAGCGATATCAGATTATTTCTACTTCATCTAAGGTACGAATTCTAAAGATGATTGAAATAAGGACAACAAGCCTTAATGAATAAATGGAATAGGAAGCTTTGTAAGAATCCGCTTTATTGATTTATTCAGTTTTTGGTACACAACGCGGGCCCATGATTATCAAATCAAATTTGTATTCGATGACCGATGATAAATTTTGTAAAAATATCCATATGAATTAAATGCTTTTTTTTAACTATCTGTTATGTATGGAAATTGAAAATATACTGTGTAAATGCCTCTCTTGGTAGCCTTAGTATTTTCGTCTAATTGACGGAAGACTTCGTAACGGTAACAGAAATACTTACACTTTGGACTACTAAGGTTAGCCTCCGATAATAATTTGTGGAGCTCATGTTGCCTTTTGTTTGGAAGTCCTTTCGTTATGTAATTTATCCTTGTGTGTTGACGCTATTCAGGATTTCTTCCTAAGCTTTAGAGTTCGTAAATATGTTTGTTACTCTTTAAATATAACAAAACCAGTCTAGCCGTTCACACACCATTGTATTGCGTTAGACTGCCTTGTGGTTTTGTTGTCGCTACCCGAGTTCCCGAATATAAGGACGTGACATTCTTAGATTTAACTTAGATTTACATGGCATGTTTCATCGATGAAGCAAAGACGCTCAGCCTTCCGGAACACCTGGTCTGATTCTCCTTGATCTTTTTAAAGGGTCTCAATGTAACTATTTCCTTTAATTGTGGGCGGATTGGTGGAGCCTTCCAAGCAGGCGGCTGGGGTTCGATCCCCGAAGTCGCCGTACGCATGGAATATTCAGAGAAAGTATTTTTCTCCTGCCCACACAACTATAACAACCCAGGTGGATTAAAAATGATCTGGGGTGGGTGTTGCGGTATCTGTGCTGTAGCATTCAAGTGAGGTGGTACTATAAAAAATACCGTTGGAAGCACGGTCCCACTACAAACACAACACAATACATCTCCAGCACACACACTGGCATACACACATAGGGAGATATTAGCCAGGTGGCATAGGACTGGTAGTTAGCACCTGATAAGGAAGCTCCTGCGAAGTCCTCAATATTGTATTGATTAATCTATATGCTAATCGTATTGACTGTATAAAATTGTATATCTATGTACTGTAAAGCGCCTTAGAATGGCTTATGTTAGCTATATAGGGTGCTATATCGAATGTTGTATATTTGTTTTTATTTATTTAATCGTATTCTGCCCTAGTTTTAATTGATTTTGAGTTCGACCTCTTGTATTACTGGCACTTGGGTACGCTCTTGTTATTGTTTTCTTATGTAATTGTTCGAAAGATTGAAACAAGTGAGGATGCGGTTGTAACTGTAACATTCACTATGTGTATATGCCAACGATTTTACCCTTTGATTTTAGGCAATATGTCACTATTCGAAGTATAAAAAGCATCATGGGTAACATTCAAGACATTCTGAATACCAGTGAAATTGAACATAAATAGATGAGTCAACGAATAAGAAATGTTAGTTTTGACGTAAACATACGATTTAATAAATACATCTTTGACTTAATAGCTAAATTTATCGACCATTCGATATAAAGAAAGGAAGCATGTTTATTCTTTAGGTGTATTCAAATTGTATCAATTGTACATAGCGACCTGTTGTTATAATCGACATCATCCTTCATCAAAACCTTCCATTGTCCTTGCACAGTTGACAATTGATCACAATTACACCTTTTCTGTTACTTTGTGTATTTTATTTAACTGTTAACGAAAGAAAGCAAGAAAACAATGACAATAATGTTTAAAAAATATATAAGACCGACGAAAAAAACTGCTAGCATCTGTATCCACTAACATAATGGGTCGACCGGCATTAAAACAAATCAAACATAAATCTCAATTACATCCATACGCTCCGGGGTAGAATTCCGCTATCAGTGACTCAAATAGGGGACATACTTCAGTTGTTCGTGAAGTAGTTCCACGTTGTTTTCCATTAGCTCACAGTCTACACCAAAGCGAAAAAAAATCCTTCCGATCACAGTTAACATTCACTAAGTGTACATAAATATCTACATATTAAAATTAGCTATCACTGTATCAAGTGTATTCATGTGTTAACTAAACAATCATTCCGAAGTCTGGCTGTTTGTTTGGTTATCAGTTATCAGATACTTTCTTATTGTAGACTTATTGTAAATAGAGCTGCAGCAAGACTTCAAATTCCTTCAAAGTGCAAAATGTTTACCCTGTTAGCACATGCCCCACAGTAAGAACAGGCTAATATACGTAAAGCAATATAAAATGCATCACTTCATCAAAGGCGTCATATTTTATTTACTTGGGATAGTATAAATTGTTTCCAGGCTGAATGGACCATGAACATTACAGAGTTATTTCCCTTAGGAACACGAAGTTGTTGTGTAAGGGGAAATAATCGCAACTATTTCATTGTATCAATTATGTGGTTGTTAAAGAAAGAAAAGATTATCCGAAATTTCATGGTCAATACTTCCAAACTTCCTTTTATAACAGTATATTACACTGATTGATTTTGCAAACATATGTAGAAAAAATAGGTGAAAAGACTAAATTGCAACAATAATAATACGTCATATAGTTAATTCCATGTGGTGCCTTTTTATTATCGTACAACTGCAGCCAATAAAACATAAGTATACATAATTAGCGAATATCTTAATCACATACAAAGATTCAAGTAATTGGCAAGTGTTTTTCAATCTTCACTTTTCCTTCAACATACACAATACAAACATAACAAACAAGTCCTGGTATCATTGAAGAACAATTGTTTCCTGAACAATCATCATACAACACTTGGTTGCAGTTATCAACATTGGTTGTCAGAGCATTTTGACGTTATCGTCCTTCAATATATATCACGATATCATTCATATGAAAATTTATCAATTAATGAATATATACAGAAATAAATAAATGTCATACAGTAAATATAGCACCTTAAATACTTGCATTCATATTTTTGAATAAAAAATCGAAATTTTAAATTCTGGGTATAATTTTATACTTGTAAACATATTAAAAAATTACATCGAACAAGGAATAAATAGAAGAATATTTGATATTTTCAAGCTTTGGATGTGTTATTTAACCTACACACTCTATGATTAGCTTACCCGATGCGTTACACAAATATAAGTTTGCTATACAAAACAAAGTATCAAAGGTAAGTTCGTCCCTCTTTGCTCTCTCCCAGCCTGATAGGTGGACACTAACACTATTCATGAAGTAAACAGGGAAGTAATGTATCAATCTGATGTTACGATGTGTATGCAATACTAAATTAAAGAATTAGCATAAGACCCGGAACCGTTTTATCATTTGATCAGATTAAAAATATATGCTCACCACACGATCATTGCGTGCAACATATAGTGTTACAGTTCGTGTTCAATAAACAGGAAACGAAACACTTCCTTGTAAAAACAAGTATGTCATTCATATCTACAGCCAGTCAACACACATAAGCGTCGCTATTCATGCTTGAAGAAAAGTTATTTGTTACTTGTAAACTTCTCCAGATGTTTCATATCAAAACATACATTGTCAAATTTACGTCATAGAAGCCTACGCAGCACTTTCCATTTATGATAAATATCTCATACCTCATTACATGAACCTATTTCCTCTTCATGTTTGATGTCATATGTTGCAACTTAATTAAGCTTTCGTATTGCATAATGAGCTTTTCGCTCGCGCTAAACTACATCATTTTAAACATTTCACTACAGTCATGCATTTTATGTCATATAAATCACAGTAAACCTGGACATTATCACCATGAAGACTGATTTTCTATAACCTCGAAATAAAGTTTACATGTTCATCATGATCAATTTTATATTTTCATTAACATATGAATATACAGTTTTTAAAATAGTACAAATATATGTAACAATGGCGACGCAAGCACCATTTTCACCTGAGCAACAGTCTAATCCACAGCCCCAGAATTGCTGTAAACGTTCGGTTGCTCCAATTCAATGTTGCTTTTGTTGTCAGCATAGAACGGTTCTGCCAGATAGAGAGAAACGCAATAGTAATGAAATTTCCGGATCTTTCAGCATTTCTAATGCACCATTTAGCATAGAAGACACGGGATCAATCAATGTAAAATACTATTATGAATTTGGATAAATAATAGCAGTCACTCCTGATCCAAGCTTGCGAGCTTAGCCTTTCGTTAGGCCCATGAATGGCTAAGCCAGAAAGTTTTGATCGAAAGTGACATATATATGTGATTGAAGTAATAATAACAATCAATCAACTAGAAATTATTGGCTTACAATTTGACGGGCTTTTCACCTATACTAAACCTGAACTAAAGGTAATGTTTTCTATGCTACTGAGCAAATATCATCGCCCTTGGTCTCTTGGTTATTGAGAAGGGTCGTATACAGATTTTTAGACATTTGACCCCTATGGCCTTGAAAGTAGGTCAAGATCAACTATTTTCACAAACTTTTTTTTATTGCAATAAATAGCAATTGAAAGCAGTATGCTACTGAGCAAATATCATCGCTCTATGCCTCTTGGTTATTGAGAAAAGGCCGTATACGATTTTTAGACATTTGACCCCTATTACGTTTTGAAAGTAGGTCAAGGTCAACTATTTTCACAAACTTGATAGCCAATAACCTGAGCACCTTGTATATGAAATATAAATACACAAGACCTCCTAGAACTTAAAGGGAAGCTTTTTTAAATGCGTTACCCAAAATAGCACTTTTGAAACTTGATCAAAGCCGAAACTGAAAGTTGACGTTGTACACAAAAATGTTTCCCGATAAAAAGTTTTTATTTGTTAGTGTTAAAAACCTATACAAATATGAACTTTATATGTTCAGCCATTAATGAGTTATGGTAATTATTGTAAAAACGGGTATGACGTCATGGTGGTCATTTTGTTTTCTCAAGATGTCAAGAACCTAACCTTTGAAACACTATCTGGAGAAACTTTTATGCGATGAGTAATTAGAAAAATATCTCACAGATATTGGAGAGAAAATTGAGTTAAACATATTGTCGGCATTTCAAAAAGATCATAGGAAATTTTCAATATTGGGTACAGTGCAAACGGAAAACGTTATAAAAAACCTGAAGACATCAGATTTATCGGAATGACATACTGCATCGATTTAAAAAAAATAGTGACATTTGACCTAACAGCGAGGATTTTTATTTGACCTTTTTTGTATTAACATGTAATAAAAAAAAAGATAAGCCCTAAAAATATCTACAAATAATATAATGTCATGACTGCTGTACAATCAACACTTTTTGAGTTGTGGCCATTTTAAGATTTCAACCTATGACGTCATGGCGGCCATATTGAATTTTTGACCTACTTGAAAATGTTGCAATGACACCTTTTGACCTTGGCCTCCAATATACTTATAAGACTGTTAAACACATCTGCTACCAATCAAAAGATTAGTAGGCCACAACATCAGGGAAGAGGAATAATAATAATAAGAAGAAGAAGAATGACAAGAAACATAACAATTCCAATAGGTCTTTTCACCGATCTATGTACTAACATCTGGTGATGGTTTGTCGTTCACTTTTAACTGAAAATCCCGAAAATGGCAATCACAAATATTAGCAAAAGTACAAAGTTAATCTCTGCTCATGAATAAAATGCATACATAATCGAAAAAGTATTGACTCGAATGTTACCTTTTAGCTTTGCTGGACCGCAAGTTCCGGTGTATCTTTGCTTCATCCTGCAAAAACATTAGTAATATCACGTAAGTTTATTTTAGTTCAGTGTTTGGTGATGACATCTAGATATATCTTTTCAAATCGCGCTTAACGCCACTTCATCTATTTCACGTGATATGCGATGGGACTAACTTTTGTTCAAAGTTCATGATTTCTTTTATGGATGTGTAATAAAAAAAAAAAAAAACCACAGCATCACTCTTACGTCCCCGCCTTTGTAGGACCCAAAGATAAAAAATATTCAATAACAAGTATAAAAATATAATGCAGAAATTAACAAAACATTAAGTTAAGAAAATATAATTATATTAGTCACAAAAGTTCGACCAAATCACAGCATACAGTTGTTTAATGCCTTTTCATCGACAGTAAAAACTATTTTCCCAAGGGGGTGGGGCCCACGAGAGGAACTGTTTCCCAATATCATTTAGGCCTAGCAGCTGGCAAACGAACATCGTGCTTTCTTTATCATAGTGACCAATCAACAGTCGTAGTGTAGCAAACACTTGGTTATTGCGTGAACAGTTAGCAGTTGTACGACAAAAACAATTGTCGTATTACGTTTCATTATTCTAGGAGGAAAACAGTATAAAATATGCTTAATATACATTTATAAAGAAAGCCAGTAATAATACAAATTCATCAATAGGCATTGTTAAAAAAGAGTGCGAAGATACGCTCTAGTTAATACACTATAAGAATTCACCATGTATACCTTTACTATCCTCTATTGCATAGGAAAACAATATTAATATCATGTTTGATTGTTAAGATATCTCTGACATACCGAATAATAATGAAAGCGCACACTACTATAACGAAGGCCAACAGGACAGGGAAAACCACTTTCAACGCGGAGCAGTCGTTACATTCTGCTTTTTCTGCAAAAAACAGAAAGTACATCTGTAAATATCTAAATGAAACCAGAAGACCAACAAACAATTCAATGTCAACACGCAATGATAAAACAAATTTCGACGGCAACATACCAAATAAATACCGAGGACGAAACCAAGGGGAAATAAATATAACTTTTCATACCGAGGGAAAGCAGGGGATGATGTTAACTTATCACTAGAAGAAACCAAGGAATGACGTTAATTTATTTATTTAACTTATTATTGAGAGAAAAAAATGGATGATTTAACTTATCACCAAGAAAAATAGGGGGTGATTTTAACAATTAACCACAATAAAAAAATACCAGTGGATGATGTGAACTTATTTCCGAAAATTCCCTAAGGGATATGATTTGGACAACTTAGGCATTACAAAACGGTAAGTTAAACAGCGTCAAGATCCGTCATTGATATCTCAAATAATGCTAGTATATAGCACATTCTGATACACTAAATAAAACTACTATTGGTGCAATAATAACATTTAAATTAAAATTAACTATTTCGACCAGTTTGCTTTCATGGACATGTTACACTGTGAAATTATTTAAGTAGAATATCGTATTGTTTTCGTTAATGCCAAAATACCATTTTCAAAATATAAATATCACACTTGACTTCCATTCCTGTTTTCTTGTATGCGTTGTGGATACGTTTGTGTTTGCTGAAGTATGTATGTGTTATTACATGAAATACTGTTCGAACAAGTCACTAGATCACGTCACTGTATATTCTGAATGTTGATACCTGCGCACGTTCCATCAGCTTGTAGACAATGCCTTCCTTCACAACAGCCAGGACACGATTCCTCACAGGTGAATCCGTATTTACCATGCTTACAATCTTTAAATAGTAAAAATCCTAGTTAAGCAACAGTTTTACCTCTGAAATATGGGGGATTGGGCTTGGAGACAAAGCTTCATTTTCATTAATGAAGATAGTATTGATTATGTTTGCAAAATGATATCACTTGGGAGATTTGTTTTATAGTAATCTCTCTTTAGGTTTTGATTACATGTGTACGTAAGTCTTCCTTACAACACAAATGTTTCGCATTAGCTAGGTCATTACTCCATCTGGCACAAAGCCTGTAAACTTATAAAACGGCTTGGTGTTGCTGTTCTTCCGCCATTTGTCCAGGGTCTCGTGACATTATATAGTAAGCAAAATTTTCTTTATTGCCATAAAGGCATAGGTTAATGATACCAAGAATATTCTGGAGTGAATGGGTATCTGGTTTGCCAAATCTTTTACCCTAGTTACATACTAGTAGTACAAATCTGCTTAAATCTATAAACATCTTCTTCTAACAAAGAGGCCTGAAGCCACAATATATTTCCCGTAGCATGCTATCATGAGTAAAAAGCCTTCGAATTAGTTCAAATGAAAACCAGACTATCATAAGTTTAATAAAATTATTTACCTTGGTTAACTTTCCTCAACATATTTTGTTTGCTAACATCCTGACTCACCTGTTAGCGCTACATGCCTAGCAGGTAAGCGCATTTGGTACGTTGTTTTCTATCTCAGGAGTAAAAATAAAATATGTACTTTGTACGACTGTTTTATACAACGTCATTAAGATCTTCCGTTACCTTAGTATTCAACTCTAGCAAAACAAAATTTAAAAGCTGTATATTAGAAAACAGACACGTAATTGTGTATTAAGCTTAAAATTGAAAAAAAAAGATAATAAAACCCCCACCTGTTTGTTGATATTCATACACATTTCTTGACATTTTTTAAATATTGAAAACAAGACATACATGTAGAATTCGGTAATTCATGAACTTTGGATTCTCAAGAGAAAACAAACCCGTAGTTTTGACATGCGTATGGTCGTGTAGCAAAACGATACCATATATAAACATGTCCGCTATATTCTATGAACGATTATTGTTCCCAAAGCGAAACGTCAGATTTGTACCAACTATATGAGATTATTTTAGAAAATAAAATGTTTATATTCACCGGCACAAGTGCCCACTGTTTGTTCACACATGCCATTCCTGCAGTTTTCTGGACAAGTCTTGTTACAGTGTGCACCAAACTTGCCTGTTACACAACCTGTAATGTACGGTGTATTGTAAAGTTTTTTTCTGAAAAAACACATTCTCTTTGGTCATCATGACCTGTTTACCAAATACCAAATTCAAAAATATCACTGTGTCCTTGACCAATATTGCTTGAAACAGGAACTAAACTTGCTTACAAGCCAAGGTAACCCTACCAGATTTCAATGCTGTGCCCTACTTATAGTTATATACTGATTCCATTGTAAGAAATACGCCTAGTACTGGATTATTTATACATTTTGAAAGTATTTAAATATAATTTGTTCGTGTTTTGTCATCACCTTTTTCACAATGTCCTCTTTTCTTGGCACAGCTGCCACTAGCACATTCAGAGGGGCATGGTTTACAAAAGTCACCGAATGTTCCTTCAGGGCAATCTGGAAAAACGAATCTCACGATATTTCGTATTTCTGATTCGTCTGATTCGAGAAAATAATTCTCGTCAATAACATGCTTACAAATCCATATCACATATAATATTGATATTTATTCATTAATAAATCAAATTAAGCCAACCAAAATGTACATATTGTTCGTTCACTCTCGTTTCTAATTACAGATTGCTACAAAACAAATTAATATATAACCTGTAAGATTTAATACCCTGTTTTGCATATTTGTTTAAGGATTACATAAACATTTTTATTTAAAAAAATGTTCGTGTAGTTTATAACTATGTAAGTGTTATTTAAAACAATCTAACCAATCAAAACATAAAATATTTCAAAATATTTTCAGATTATTTTCTCACTCGTACTTACGTGCACAAACACCTGTTTCGCCATCACAGACGCCAGGACAGTGCTGCTTGCATTCGGAACACCCTTGTCCATCTTTGTAATACCCAGGACTACAGCCTTGGGTGGATGGATTAAGAAAATGCCTTTATAACCAAACGATATGTTCTGTAGAATTTATGACCTTATTTCATGGATAAATCGGCATTTTGATGGGATGGCATGCATTGCTTCATATGTGCACTAGTGAAAACGTTGGATTATATCGATATTTTAGATGTATATTTCGAAGGAGAATATATTATGTATATTTCGTACAATAATCTGCGTCAATGATTACGTTTAGAACATTTTTGTTTTTGTGAAGATAATTTACAGACTATCCATTTTACAACAACAAAATAAGCATATCAGAATTGGTTGATATTATACAAAAGGCAACGTCCGGAATTGTTCAATTCCTGTAGACTTTGTAATGAAGTGTGGCTCTTTGGGTTCAGTTCATATGCCCTTCGTAAGATTCTTACGATTTTAGTCATCGCTCTGAATGCCGCATTACAAGACGATAATTGGTCCTTCAATGTGTAGTAATAGTGTACGCTGAAAGTGTTACATCGTGCATACAGCTCAAAACTAAAATAGCAAACATACTTACGGAGACATATACCAGTGGAAGGGTGGCAGTTTCTGTCAACGCAGCTAACGTCACAGGACGAGTTACAGTTACCAGTCCCGTAATAACCTACCGGACAACCTGTTCAACATCAGCAACAACAGTTTAACCTATTTAAGTTGTATTGAATGCTTATCAATGAATTGAATGTGTGTTACTCCAGTAAATAGTCCACCTCAATAAATCGTAAGTACTGAAGATTCTCCAGATGGTGAGTACAAAGGACTAGGACGCTGAAGATACATTTATCGAGTCCTGCTGTGGTAAAAACGTAAGGCTTACGGTGTTTATTAAAAGTAAAAAAGCAATTATTTTTTGAATGTTGTAAATAAGTAACAGTGATATTTGTCCAAAAACACATTTAACATTTCTCCATATGGTCAAAATAACACATTAAAAGAATAAATAATATTCCACATTTCAGAGTTGTAAATGGAATGAAATTTGATGTAAACATATCGTTACGTCCAAATCCTATATATGATAACATAATATATATGTAAACATATGTTGTATGTTTATAATCCATAGGTTTATCGTTATGTCTTTGTTACTAATTATGTAAAGTTGATTACCGTAGACCTCGATTTCACACAGCTCTAGAATGGCAGCACGTGAGTACCAGCTTCGCAGCTTTACTCGGCGGTCAACGTAAATAGTCAGAAACTGGGCGACTCCTTGACATGTGTTGTTCTGTAGGCTCGGCAATGAACATTTTGAAGGGGACTTGTCAATGTAGCAACGATCACCTTGTGCCCATTCACTAGTATTTGACAGAATGATTTCGTAGCCTCCTAAACGATGTATCCATCCGTCTAATCAAAACAAAAAGAAACGTGTTACTTAAAAAATATCTCTTAATCAGTATGATATGCATATGATGAATTGTGATTTGTTTTTAAACGTGTATTCAAAAATAAACTGTATTTGATGTAGTTTTATGAAATTTTTCAAGTTGTTTGAATGATTAAAAATTCGTGTAATCATAATTACTCTACGGTTAATCTTGTCGTTCATATAAGTAAAATGCTATTATCGAATTATGATATTGCTGTGTTATGCTTCTTTTTTCTTTGTAGATCAACTATGAAAACAATATAATATTAACTATATTTCAACAATAGCCCCTACCCCCAATAAAGTAGAATTATTAGTGTTCAATTTCAATTAATGTAAGTAACAAAAAGGAAGATGATAAACATTTAAACATAGACAGGTACGTTGACCATGTGCGGCAGATTGACCTTAAAAATAGTATGTCATAATATGGTGAGTAAGATAAGACTTTAGGAAGTAAAAAAAAATAAAATATTATACGCATTTTCAATCGACATGGATAAATCGGAAACCTTAAGGTGATACGGACATTTTCTGAAACAAGGGAAACAAAGCCAAGTGCTCCAAAACGTAGACATTTTCTGAAACAAGGGAAACAAAGTCAAGTGCTCAAGAGCGTGACCATTTTTTGAAGCAAGTGGCACCTATCACAAGAAAATATTACGTTTCAGTCAGTGTAAAAATAATTTAGGGAAAAAACACACATGTATAAGCCAAATTTAAATCAGTAGGCTGTGCTTGGGGATGAGAGCACAGTAGATATAACACTCGCCTTTCACTACGACGGTTTTGATTCCACGATCAGACGTTCAATGGTATTTGGTTACCTGCCCGATAATGTAGTTTTTCTCCTGGTACTCGGGTTTCCTCCTACATTGATACCCTCTTTGGGCTTCCATACGTATTAGGAAGATTATTTAATGTAAGTTGGAGAATGTTTTAAAATTTTGTTTTTAAAATAAACTTTATATACTTAAAAGTACGATCAGCTCATTTTTCAAACTATACACATACCTCTATAATAAATGAGGACGTTTCCTACAGCGATTGGTTCCTCTAAATCCACCCACCACCAAGCTTCTAAAAGACCTTGATCACTTGTATGCATACAACAGCTCCTAAAAACGTTTTGATTTTTACATCCATCAACAGCTAAATCACTTGACCATGTACCATAGATGCTGCTCATGTTTGTAGGCTTGCCTCTGCTTAAATTTTCTGAAAAAGACCATAATTAATAATAAAATTGTATAAATCACTTTGTAGGCTTACCTCTACTTAGGTTTTCTGAAATAGAATATACTCAATAGTTAAACTATATCAGGCTGGCTGACCTTTATTGATGTTTTCTGATATAGAACATAATTGATAATTAAATCATATCGATTTCTTTGTGTCAAACAATTGCACATCCAAGGTGTTATTTTCAATTTGTAATAAAAAAACAAATATGTAAGGTATTATATGCAAAACATTATTGTTTTGTCATTTATTTGAAATGATATTATATAAATTTTCTCTTTTTGTTTTGTTTTGATGAAGTATCCCAAAACATATATGTAACTATAAATAATAATATGAGATTATTCGTACAATGAAAATTTGTAATTATTTATGAAATATATAAAGCTAACTAGAAACAAAAAATGTATACCACAACGTGAATGCACAAGCCTATGGTAATATATGGTACCAGAACCAATGCATCTTGTCAAGGTATATACTCTAAAATCTTGGCCTTGGAAATAAGCATTGGATCCTTACATTCAAACATACATGTATCTCAATGATTATCCATATTAGGCCGGTCTTGAAATATACATAGGATTCCAGGTAGGATGCATTTCCTTTACTTCCGACCCACACAGGTTTTACAGGTAAGTTTCACATTTCATGATTTACTATTGCAGCAATTTGAAAAGAAGAAAACATAAAATTTCAATTTTATTAGTATAATATTACATTTTCCATGAAAAAAGAAGGTCTTGAAAAGTATGCGTCTGCAGAAACTCTGTTTCAATAACTTCAAGGCTGACTTAAAATAGGCTCGCTTTAAAAACAAGCCTGACATTTCTTGCTAAAAATGTAAATAAGCCACAGTGTATAATCAAGATTTGAGGGCATGTCATCAAAGTAAATAAAACACTCGTTGAGTATTTTATAACAGTAGGCAATGAAAGTTTAAAGCTGTAAAAATATGTCGAAGATGAAAGCTGAAGTAGAAACCCAATACGTTTATCACAGAATATTTACATTCTGTATGCTTGGACCCATTGGCGAAAATGACATTCATTTTTGCATAACACAGGTGACCTCATCACTGCGTATTGATACATTTTAATGACGTAGCACAGGGCGTACGTGTTACACGTCCGCCGTGAAACAGCCCTAGGTGTAGTTTAGTTATGCTAATATGATTAACATTAAACATGATAGGCTTCATTTTAATTCTCAAATGAGGTGTGTAAGGTACATGATAATAATATCCGACGTGTGCAAGTTCTACAAATTAAATTTGAAAATATAACTATTTTCTGTTTGCTTTGTTGCCATGCTGTTGGTAGGACCCCCCCCCCCCCCCCCCCCCCAACGGAAGTTTTACATTTTCGCGCAAAAACACGCTGTTCTCTCTACTGCGTTGCCCCATGCACAAATATAAAAACACTGCCGCAATTATTGTTATTTATGCTTGCATCGGAAATTTCAAAGCACTTAAAATTGTAAATATAAGGAATGAAATTTATTTCATCAACATTCATGAGGTCATAACAACATTGGCTTTCTGGGCATATCTACCAAGAATCGCTAACGCGATTCATGGAATATGTCCACAAAGCCAATGTTGTTATGACCTCATGAATGTTGAAAAATTAACTTTCATTCCTTAACTCTGGTAATAACGTAAGGAACATTACAGGAGGAGTTTTTCTCCCGTTTTAGCAGAGAAAAATCAGCTTGTCACCTCCTAGGGGGAGATAGCCTCGTGCCGATTAGCACGTGTTCAATTGTGACGTCATTAAAATGCGTCATCGGTAATTGTAACGTCATCAAAAGTGAATGACGATATGCATTCCCTACAAGTGTTTTTTGTTTACAAACATGGCAGACTACTAACGGTGGAGCTGTGACTGAAATAATAGGATAGGAGAAAATAATCATCCCCTACCATGAGGGTGTAACAGAGAAATCTCCAACCCTCGGGGTGATTTTTTTGGTTGTCTAACCCTCGGCAGAGCCTCGGGTTAGACAACCAAAAAAAACATTACCTCTCGGGTTGGAGATTTCTATTAATCTTATTGTAGAACAGACGGCCAAATCCACCGGTATATCGGGCATAACATTAATTATCATTTTGGTTTAAAAATTGAATGACATTTACAAAATAAAAGTGCATTAATTGTCTTTATGAGTTTTTTTTTTTTTTTTAAAGAAATGAAAAAAAAAGAAATCGAGCACTGCTGTTTACAGCAATTTGTGTGGTTACTTTTAAATATTTATCTATACATTGACAAAGAAAGATGACTACATGATACGTTCATGATGGAGCTAGCTCTTTCTCACTTCTTACCTGATACGTTCATGATGGAGCTAGCTCTTTCTCACTTCTTACCTGATACGTTCATGATGGAGCTAGCTCTTTCTCACTTCTTACCTGATACGTTCATGATGGAGCTAGCTCTTTCTCACTTCTTACCTGATACGTTCATGATGGAGCTAGCTCTTTCTCACTTCTTACCTGATACGTTCATGATGGAGCTAGCTCTTTCTCACTTCTTACCTGATACGTTCATGATGGAGCTAGCTCTTTCTCACTTCTTACCTGATGCGTTCGACAAGTGTATGAAGGCTATACAAATGACCAACAGCTTAGTTTTTCCCCTCTCCATGTTTCCGTCCCAAATTTCCACTCGTGTAAATTAAAGCTACACAATATAAATAACAAGGGAACATACCCCCTGTCAACTACAAATTATCATATTTACATGATATCGAGTTACAATTTTATTTAATTATTTTCCAATTAAAACGACCACTACAACAACAATGTTAAGTACGGCATAGCATTCTTAATGAGCCAATCAGGAAGAGTATGAACAGCACCATAATAAGTTTATCTTAGTGATGTAGTTAGTATCTTTATAGGTCAGTTTTTGTTACAGTACATTAAGTAAACTAATAGGCGACATATCTCTATTTCATCTGCAGTACTTTCGATAACATCTCTGTACGTTTGGTTGTACGCATTTCCCATAGATCTTCATGCGTACGTATTTTGGATTTCAAGTTTATCTCTGTTTTTGATACATTTCAGCACATACTGTAAACAATGGTTCTAGAACACCAAAATCGCTGAAGACTCTTTTTCTTTTCGTTACATTGTTTTTGGTAAAATAAATCTTTTTTTTTCATTGGTAGAGACGTCTAGGAAATCAGGTTTTATGAACTGCTGAATGTGAGTGTCATTTATTGATTGCTTTATTTATCTGTCCATTTTCTTATTTAGCTATTGTTGTGTCTTTTCGTTCAGGAAAAGGAAAATTACACATATACTGGTATGCTGTACTTCACTGACAATCTGTATTGGTTTGCAGTAGATGATACATGTATCTAGCAGTGTGTTATTGCTATCTTGGGCATATCATGGCGCTTTTGTAAAAGAATTGTCTGCATTATATCTGTATAGTTCGGAGCCTGTCGTCGTTCACGTTTGTTAGCATGAGAACGTTTCGTTCACGTCACCTTTTATTGTTTTGATTAAGTATACAGCATGAAATAAAAAGGTAATAATATATGCATTGACATTTTTTTACCTTTTATATTCAGTATCACATAATGTGTTCTCTTAATCAAAAGAAACAGAAAAGGTAGTTTTGTATCAAAAAAATAAATGTATACTAGGTATGGAGTTGCTGAAGGTCGTTATCAATCTCATGCTATTTAATTTAATACAATTGAAAATAATGAATTTATTTGCAAATAAAAATACATATTCCTATTTATTTTAGAAAAAGGTGAAACAAAGTTAAATTATACGTTTAAGTTTGGAAAAGGATGTAGTAATTCAAATTTTGAATTACATTTGGGTTAGCAAGATGTGCTTGTATAAAGCAAGCGGACGTTCAATCTTTTCCTCGTTGTCCACTATGTACAGTTCAAGGAGCAATACTCCAAATGAACTTGAAAGTACTGTTTATCACAAGCACTTTTCATCTTTCCCACTTTTTCTGAGTTATTAAATGTGTAACGAAGCTAAAATTCTGAAGTATGTTCTTAAATACTTCTTAAATAATATTTCCATTGCTCCCTTATTCCCGTGAGTTCATGTTAAGGTACTGTACAACTATTGAAAATGTCGATCCTGAACAGACAACAGTGAATGAAGAAGTCCTAATCATGTCATATCCATTATCTAACAAATACGAGTATTAATATTTCCTTAATTATTATCCTTAATATTCTCATGTTTTCTTTCTTAATAGGCAAGTCCTATATCAAAGTTCTAATGCCAGGTATTTTCGCTGATTGACAGAAAATGTCTTTATCTTCGGCAAATCGTTATCACTTATATACCGTAAATACCTTATAGGAGGGCTTTGATCATGTCATGTCCAATCCTTCTGGTACTGTACAACCCGTTGTCAATTAGATTTGTTAGAAGTATTCATACACCCGTCACGCTAGTACATACAGCATTTACCATTAAAACACAAAACATAAACACAGACATATTGTAAATTGTGTACTGCGGTAGAAACACAGTAATTTTATTACAGCAGTACTTTCAAAGCAATTATAAAATAAAAGCTACATGATACAATTAATGTTATCAAGTATATAACCAGTAAGATATGATATGTATAATGTAATGTAAGCTAAAGTGATGTTACACCTGACGCACCTTTTAGTCGTGTGCTGTGTGATGTTGTCCTCGTGAGCGACCTAAATGTTGTGCTACCAAACACCAGAAATAAATCTGTTATACTGGTTTATAGGTCAAAGGGTCAATACCTTATTTAAACAGAAGGTAAATTCAATCATCAATAGTGCACATGTATACAAGTGTGCATTTTTGGTGTCGACAAAGACGTTATTTATACACAAAACGATTTAAGTCTTGACAATACTTTCTGTATAAGAAATAACGTCGTATTTCTTGGTAAATACTGTTGTTTGTTGGTATACGTTGGTGGTGTTAGAGTTTGAATTTACTGCGGTGGCCAAGTGGTTAAGGCGTCTGACAATCTGCTACCACTAGCCATTCAGCAATGGGTCGCGGGTCCGAGACAACTCCGGCTTCCCTCCAATACCAACACCATGTACGTCCTTAAATGACCATAGCTGTTAACGGGACGTAAAACATAAACAAACCAAACCAACCCCGTCTTGTGATATGCGTGTAAATGTCTCTCCTTGTGTGTATGTGTGTTGTATTGTTGTAGGCAACACTTATGAAAACGCAATATGATCAGCCAATCATCTACGTGCTAAGAGTTCATCCCCGCCTCTGAACTGCCTGAAACACATACTGAGCAAATGGACAAAGAGAAACACATGAACAAACATTGTAGGTTTTTAACAATCATAATAATGTTTTAAAATCTAATTTGTAATTTATATAAACGGCAACAATTGAAATGTCATTGTCTCTTGCGAAATTTTAAATATATTCGAATAAAAAAAGTTTTTGTTCAAGATATGGATTCATTTTTACATATCATCCAAATGAAATTTTGTTATCGAGTTTTAAACTAGATAACATTACAAACGAAGTAATAGCATTTATTGTGGTCAATGTTTATAGTAGCAAGACAGGCTGGTAAAGTCTAACAACATGTGTTAATATGTATACATTATTGACATAAATTGTTAATTAAGACATTAAGCACGGCACAGTCCTACACAGTATATACATACACTGGCTTAAGGAAAACAACGTTTGTTACAGTACCGTACGTGACCGTCCTCGATATCCAGGGTTTACGCTCACTTACGCTCACTGCACCCCTGGAATATGTCATAGCAAAATTGAAGGCAAAATTTGGTTGGTCTCAAGTTAAAAACCTGACCAATCACTAGGCTGATACCTGTCCTTTGAAGATTACAGAGGAGCAAAGCTCGACTTCAAAGACGGTCAATTTTACCGTTACGCGACCGCGATATTCTTTTGGTGTACATCAATGGATCGAACAAGTCTTCTTGTCTCATCAACAAGGTGGTACATGTACACACTGAGCCTTCAATATTGCTTTGACATATTCCAGGGGTGCAGAGAGAGTAAGTGAGCGTTACCCCAGGATATCGAGGAGGGTACATGTACGTGACCAGATTGCACTGTAATGTTATTCAATTGTAGCGTTTGGCTGAGGTCGATACCTGGATTTATTAACCCGAGAATAGATATATTGACCGAGGACGGAGTCCGAGGTCACTTTATCGTTTCTCGGGTTTTTCAAAACAGTGATGTTAGCAATCTGACAAAAAATAACACAACAAAAACACTTCGGCAGCAGGACAGTGCATTGTTTGGAAACACGTCATAATTCTATTTATAAAAACACACAGTCCTTCAAAAAAAAAAAACTGCTTCAAGTCAATATCGGTTTTTATCGGTGGATACGTGATGCACTCCTGGCCAATCACTTGTTTGGAATAATATGAAAAAATAATAATACCATAAATGTCCGGAATGAAAATAAACTTAAAAAGTGGTCCTCTATATCTAAAAATATCATGTTAATCGACAAATCTGATCTTACACGTCACATATTCTACACACTTCTCATTTTTCAATTAAAAGGATTTTCCGGAGGATAGCTTATCCACCGACATGATCCTTTACTCTTTTAGTTGCAACCCGTATTGTTTTGATTCCCCTCATTAAATTTAATGTAAGCAGTCGGAGAAAATTGCGTAAGTGGTAGAAGGATATGCATATGAGCGTTTTACGTCTTTGATAAATACACCGAGTAAAGGATATTTGAATCAACATGTGTCAGTTACCCAAGTGTCGTTGAAATGTGTCTTAGGGTTTAACAGTGACAGCCGTACACGACCATGTGAAATCGATGTTCGAGCATTAAAGAAATTTCGTGATAACGGGACAACATTTTTATGAGGGTGGGTCCGGACAAAATTGTGTCTTAAAATAAAACAAAATATTTAAAAGTTTAAACCACCTGATATGATATCAATAATTGGCACTGTTGTCCCGGTTGGTCCTGTTTTCAATTGATTCATTTCACAGCAGAAACACTTTCTTAAATCCGAAAATGTGAATATATTTCTCTTCCTACTTGTTTTCACAGTCTTGTTTATGTTTTTCCTTTACATAATTTGCATATTCAAATATGACCTCTTCCTGTTCTTTGGTCTCCACTGAGCCAGGTCTGTACATGCGTATCTGGTCGAGTGCCCGCTGGGGCTCCATACAGAACTCCCTGATGAAGTAACAGGCCAACACCGTTCCCGTCCGTCCCTTCCCGTGGGCACAATGTAAACCAGCAGCCTGAAATGAGATACTTAACGTTTGTTCATCTTATCCAACAGGAAAGACAGTAGTGTGCTTCCACTGAGGGTCAAATCAGCGACCCCCAGCTTCCCAGTCCAACGCACTTCCAATCAGAGGGGTACACATTTGAATGAGCAAGCATGTCTTACAACGTTTGTCGATCACATTTCGTTCTAAAGAACAATGTTACCGCATATGATTTCGAGTACAGATAACTGTTATTGAATCCCGTCTTGCTGCATTCCAACATGCTTTGTCCATGAAATATACGTACTGAGGTTACATGCAACTATTTCCTGCGTTTAGCTTGAGAAACGCGGTAAAATAACATGCTTATAAATATATACATGTATGTTTGTGGTGTTAATACGTTTAAGATAGAACATTTTGTAAGTATATATTGTGTTTGTTACTGTTTATTATTTGATTACCAAATTGACCAATTAACCGGTTACTCACTCGGAAGATTGTTCGAGTAACCGGTTACCAAATTATGACTGGTTTGACAACCCTAATCACTATAAGAAGACTTAAATAGGAAATATTATCTTTATCTAATGTAAACCTTGCCGTCCAATGAGTGCACGAGTTGTCCTTGTTCATTCATATACCACGATCCTACTTGAAATGTGTGTTTCCTTTTAACCGTTTTCGTCCAATTCGTTGCGACTATTGGTGAAATAAAACAAACGGAAAAGTCCTGAAAAGGGATTTTTGATTAGACATACACGCTCCCAACGTTTCAGAACACAAAAAAATACCCAGACTAGAACAGGCTTACTTAAGTGAATGTACTTACCTTTCCCTCTTGTAATGCCTTGTCTATGATGTCTAAACATTGATCTATCTGTTCCAGAGTAGGCGGTGTAAAATCGAGAACTGTTATAGGCAGAACAGTGATTTCTGAAAGTGAAATTTAACCATAATTGCAGATAGCAATGCTGTATTAGTTCATGCTAACTATAAATTGAGGCTAAAAATATATTTTAACAAAACATATTCAGCTATTGATGTTACGGTTAAACTAGCAATTTAGGTAGTGAGAATAATCTTTTCAAAATTACCGTAAGAACTGCGTTACTGATATTTTAAAAAAAATGCGTTCAAAATATAACATTTCACACAACGAAAGACTGAATGTGACTGCAGGTAAACTAGGTATTACCCAACATAAAAAGACGCTAAAGGTGACTGCTGTATACCGAGGTCGTATACAACGTTATGTAATTGGTATTTAAACTAAACCGTTACAGACCGTACGTTAATGGGAAGTTTCATACCTGGGAAGTCGCTTACGGATGGCTGTCTTTCGGCCGTTAGTGACACCAGGTAGCGGACGTTATTTTCTAATAAATACAGCATGTTTTCAGGCGATCCGGGAAATCCCATAGCACATACTTGTGAGTCCACAACCCAGGAAAAGTTCTTCGGCATCTTAGACTTAAGAGCATCTCCAACGGTTGTCTGAAAATATATTGTGTAAAAAACGTATAATACAACCTAAGAAAATTTATATATATAATAATAATAACAATAATTCCCAAGAATCCTGTCAAAGACAAATATCAGATCGCGAAAAGATGGGAAATTGATGCTACACATGGTTGTTAAGACGACATCCGGAAATGCCAACTGAAATAAGTTAAATACTTATATTTTCCAATTTTACGAATTAGTTTACGTCATAAAAAAAAGTTTTCGCTTATCAATATTCAGCACTTTGTTCTATGTAGATTGGTCGTGTCTCTTGTCCAATGAATAGAACCACCAACTGTCCTAGGAGATCGGTGGTAAATTCGGTAGATCTTCATTAAACAACAGTTTCGGAATAGCAGTGGATAAGAACCATCAACTCAGAAAAAGAGTCAAATAGCCAAACACAATGGCAACAATCATTTTGAGGTCTTTTAATCATCTGGTTATTTGATAAGTTATTTCCAATATATAAATATCTAGCTAGAACTCATGAAACTTTGCAAGTTCATTCTGGTCTGCGTACAAAATTAAACAAATAAAACATATTTGAGGAAGGTTGTAATATAAAACTCAAAGTATCAAGGTTGTAATACAAAAACTCAAAGTATTAAGGTTGGTAAAAACTCAAAGTATTAAGATTGTAATATAAAACTCAAAGTATTAAGGTTGTAATATAAAACACAAAGTATTACTATAGTTCATTTTGTAATTTCGATACAGAGGCCACTGGATTTAAGAATCTGAAGGACGTTTACCCAGGAACTGGCAACGAAGGTCAACCGTTGAAATTTTCCAGCATATTTGCACTTCGGGTAGTAAGTATGTAATAAACTACTAGAGGATGGTGTGTATGGCCCTTCGCTGAACAACAATGGATCCTTGCTATAAGATTTCAAGTCGGTGATTCATTGAAAGTATGAACATTAGTTTGAATGTTATCATGTTTCTGTAAATTAAGGTCCTGGTTCAAAAGAATTGTAACTTGTATACATGTGTACGAGAAAATGTATTGAAATACTTTTTTTAATCATGTGGTTAGCATGTGCTTTTTACCGAAAATGTCACGGCAGGTCATTTTCCTGGATGTTCTTTATTTAGAAATGTATTGTGCTGCTAAAAATAAATCTAGCGTGGATATCCATTATAACACTAGGCGGTGTGTTGTAATCACGAGAGTTTCCATAAGCACGAGAAATCTCCAGGGACACACGGACACATTAAATTATATATTGTATATGATGTCTCGGTCTGTTAATGGTTTTTGATTCCCACTGTGTCTATAGTTCAAATCCCATATAAACTTTATAGATATGACCAAGACATAATCTATGCTCAGAACATGTAACGTATGTAGTAATCACTCTATCATATCTTTATTTAATTATTTAAAAAAAAACAAAAAAACTTTTTAAATCAGCTAAACCACCTTGGTGTAGACGTAGACAACCGAACTATGGTCGGGGGCTTTAAACAGCTGAGCCGCCTTGTTATAGGTGTAGACAACCGAACTCTGGTCGGGGGCTCTAAACAGCTGAGCCGCCTTGTTATAGATGTAGACAACCGAACTCTGGTCGGGGGCTCTAAACAGCTGAGCCGCCTTGTTATAGGTGTAGACAACCGAACTCTGGTCGGGGGCTCTAAACAACTGAGCCGCCTTGTTATATATGTAGACAACCGAACTCTGGTCGGGGGCTCTAAACAGCTAAGCAACCTTGTTATAGGTGAAGACAACCGAACTCTGGCCGGGGGCTCTAAACAGCTGAGCCGCCTTGTTATAGATGTAGACAACAGAACTCTGGCCGGGGGCTCTAAACAGCTGAGCCGGCTTGTTATAGGTGTAGACAACAGAACTCTGGCCGGGGGCTCTAAACAGCTGAGCCGCCTTGTTATAGGTGTAGACAACCGAACTCTGGTCGGGGGCTCAAATCAGCTAAGCTATCTTGGTGTAGATGTAGACAACCGAACTCTGGTTGGGGGCTCTAACCAGCTAAGCTACCTTGTTGTAGATACAGACAACCGACACTGGTCGGGGACTCAAATCAGCTAAGCTACCTTGGTGTAGATGTACACAACCGAACTCTGGTTGGGGACTTTAATCAGCTAAGCTACCTTGTCATTTGCGATCGATCAGTTTAGTCCTGCTACAAGATATAAAAAACATATACGAACCAGTTCTGTCTCCGACATGCTTCGGTCATTTATGTCCCTAGTGTTACCAACAAGTGTGCGTCTGGACGTCAACACTGTACAGTACAACCCCACACATATACACTGTCATTATAAATAATTCAACTTTCAGCTTCAATTCACACGAAGCTTGTTCTGTGATATCCGGGTGAGTGGAGGAGAAACGGGTATTGCTGATTTATCACGAAACGCGTGTGTTTAGAAACAACGGGCCACGCAAGCGTAAGTGTGTGATAACCTGTGTATAGTAACAGTGCCGGTGTACCTAGGAAGTAGTACTTACAGTTAAAGTTGATAACGATGAACATGAAGTGCAGACAAGTACAACGTTAATGACTAAGACCCTCTCTTGTGAAACCTACCGTGAAGGTCAACACATGGTTTTAGTGTTGTCTATGGCTTTTATAAAACGTAGAAATCAATACAAAGTTGTGTGTAGCTCACAGACCGTTTATACTGATAACCACACGTCTTTGATGGTATTTTATAAGCTTTAGTCGGAAGTAATACCTGCAATAATATGCCAACAAATATAAAGGTGTCTTAGACTGTAACTGTAACTTTAATTTTAATATAACTTACATGTACCTGTGAGTCGCTTTAAGCTAAAATGTATGTTCAGTACTGTAACTTCAAACTTGTCATCATACAAGTACCAAAGATTCTTGCAATAATGACGCATAGACTGTATATAGTATGTGTGCGTTTGTATATTACATATTATGTCGGTTCAAGAACGCTTCCTGCGAGATACCTTCAGAAATGCGCCTATATAAAATCAACAGTAAAAATAATTGTAACAGCATTACCAAATAACTTAAAAAGTAAACCACACAAAACACACACAGCAATACAGACCTGTGTATGGTTGAAAACCAATGAAGTGAAAGATGATTGTACGGGTGAAACGTGGAGAGTAATTTAGAAACACGGCATGGATGATTGCCCTTGGAAAATGTGGATTTGAAGTTAAAAACAGTCGATTTACAAGCTAAAGAACATGGCGTCCGGATGTATGTGTAAATGTACCTGTAACGTCAAAAGATGAAATAGTATTGTTGGTAAGGTGTAAAGGGGAACAACCCATGGTTTTTGATTCATTCATTGAGCTGTTGCAATCAGATTGAAATACATTGGTTTGGATTTGGTACTGACGATGTTATATATATTTTTATCGTTTTCTGACACAGGTATCAACATACAGATAAATACCCTTACAGACAGTTTACAAACATCATATTTATATGTGTGTGTATCTAATACCTGTGTACTAAACACAACAAATATTAAACTTCACATGTGTGTAACAAATAATTAACAAACACAAAAACACAACGTTTACAACGAAACAAAAAAAAACCATGTCCATTTGATTAAAACCCTTTCGGTCCGTATCTCGTTAATCCCATCACCGAAGTTGGTAAATCCTCGAATGCAATTACCGGGGGGCTAAAGGCAGATCAAAACGACAGGAAGAAAAACAAACGGTAAAGCATTCACATGTGCATGTATAAACGACCTAACACTCGGATAAACTGTCACCAAATGTTGATATCTGTCGGCGATTTGTTATGGTATTTCCCACAAATAAAGATAGTTCGTCATGCTACTATGCAATAGACCCGTGGTTATGATTATATGAGTATCTGTTTGACCACTTTTACCACTACAGATAATATTTCAGTTATAAGTTATAAGCAACGACGTCCAAAGCTCCATTTTTCAGTATAATTTCTGGAAATATGAGATATTTTAAAAACACAATGTGATGAATTACCACAAAAGCAACGTTCCTATGTGGTTTATTTTTATACCACCTCTTCCTAGCGTGCATACAAGCCAAAAGTCACTAACCTGCGCCTTCTGGTAATTCAGAATAAGACAATTAAAGATTTTAACACATTTACCTTATTTTATGACCTTGAACATGGCTTAAGGTAATTCATTTGAAGAAACTTAATACACTGTAGCACTTTACTCAATCAAGCTATATGTCAAACACCATATTAATAGACCTCCTCGTTATACAGAATAAGTTGAAGGTGTAACATGTAACACGTCCGAGCCCAATGACATTAAATTATGGTCAATGTAATTTCTTTTTGCAAACTTTGCAGCACTCCAGGCTAACAAGCTATCAGCCAAATAGCATGACTCTAAGTCTTTTTGTTTTAAAGAAGAAGTCTTTAAAGCATAAATCAATGTCGTTTCTGTTCAAACTTTATGGCATGCCGTGTCAGCAAGCTACTGGGCAAATATCATGACCTAGTATGTTCAGAAGAAGTCGTTTGAGTGTTTTAACAAATTTGACCACTCTGACCTTGAGTCATTATCGATACTCCTGGAGTCACTTTTCTTTTTCTCTGTGCAAAACACGAAAGTGAGCGTAACCCCATGAAGTATCAAGGATGTCCTTGGGTATAACAGTAATATCTTTTTGAAAACACTGCGTAGCACCTCATTTGTTTAAGCTATCGACCTAATAGCATGCCTCTAGACATTTCGGTTCCTCAGAAGAAGTCATTCGAGGAATTTGGTTTTACCCAAGTGACCCTGAAAATAGGTCAAGGTACATTTTTGCAAATTTGCAGGGCTTTATCAGAGGAACCTGCTGACCAAATACCAATACGCTGGGCCTCTTAAGGATCGGTTCTCTAGAAGATGGTTTTAACGGGAAAGCTTACGGATGACGGATATCGCACCACGGCAAAAGCTCACTTTGATCTTCTGGCTAGGTGAGCTTGTACACGATCAGCGAGTTATCTTTCTTATGTTGTAGTGTGTAATACGTATATAGCATG